CTTAAAAATCTATTTAAATAGAAAATGCAAAGCTGCGAGCCATATTCAGTTTTCAGGGACTTCTTTGAAACTTTTCTGTGAAAAGTTGAGATAAAAGAAAAAAATCATCAGTTTACTTTTTCATTCAGTTCATTTTATGATTTAATGAACGTTTTTGAATCACAGTTTCTGTAAAAAAGAATTAATTACCTTTCAGAACAAATTTATAATATARGATATTTAATTCAGTTCTTATATTTAAAGGTAACATTTCACATGAATATGACGCTGAAATACAAAGAAAAGTAACTGTTTCTGGTTTTTATGGGAGTTTTAGTGCATTTTGAGTTAATGTTGGTGATATTTTTAGTTTTCTGCTGCAGCTGGTGTTTCTGCTCAGGTTACATAAGAGCAGTTAAAAATGATAAATGACCAAAGGGAAGAGGCTGAAGAATCATTGAAAAGAACAAACTAACAATTCATTTGTTTAAAAAAACATTTGTTGCAATATAAAATCTAAATATACTGAAGCTCCGGTATTTGGGGCAGCGTTATGATTAATGTGAGGCGGAATGAAAACGGACAACAATGTGGGAGTTTGTGGTTAAAAAYGGAAAATGTTGCTGCTTTATTAGATAACTGAGCTCAGAACCTCACAGGGAAAATACAAACGGAGCTTTGGATTCACATGCTGTGGCTGCGAGACGAGTCGATTCATCATCAGGTTCATTATGAGACCAGGGATCAGAATTATCAGACCCGGGTCTCTTTTGGGAGGTTTGAGTCTCGCTGAGGTCATCGTTGTAAAATCAAATAATTCTGGTCTTTTTACACCAGCTTTAGACTGAAGAACTGAAATGTGCTGCTCACTGCTTTTCCTGTGTCTGATTCTGTTAGCAAAATATCTTGTGAACCACTCACTGGAAATGAATGAAACTCAAAATAATCACTGGACGCACATCTGACAGGGTTCCAACACTGATTGGRAATTACTAAAATTGTTCTGCTCAGAAATATAAAACAGCTCTACGTAATTTAATTTAAAAATATCGTGAGGAAAGGCTYAACCGTCAAGAGATGACAAAGTATAACAACAAAATTTTTAATAAACAGTTGTTTTGAAGCACTCTGTCACCAAACAGATTTTCTTTTAGGTAAATCTTGAAAATGAAAATCTGATTGATTTCAGACAGAAAACATAATTACAGTCTGATCCTGAGTTCTGCTGCTGTCAGCTGGTAAACAAGACAAACATGATAAAATGAGACCGAACAGGCGACAGCCACGAGTCACAAGGCTAAAATCCAGAGCCGTCCCGCCTTGTTGACATGTAAACAAAGAGACAAACTGGTCTTTAATAACGTGACATCAGCAAACATCTCATCAACGCTGATTTACAGAATAAACCTTCGTTTATACTGAATCATGTTCGGAAAACAAATTGGAAAAAGTAGCCTGCAGGTCCAAACATCAGGGAGTCTTTACGTCCACAGAATATTAATCATCACAGATTCATATGTGGCAACATGCCTGGAAAATAATTCATCTGAAACTCTGAATAATGAAGAAATAAATGAACATCTCATGCATGCCTTCATGCAAGAACAGCAAATTAATTATGTGAATTTAAAGTTTAATCTACAGGATTCCTGTTATTCTCATTGTGTTTGTTTCAGGTTTTAACTTTTATTTTTTAGTTTCTTGTTCACAAAATAATGTTTTTTTTTTCACTGAAATTCTTAGTTTGTTTTAAATAATCACAAAGACAAGAACTGATTTCATCCCTTCACAACCATTTATCATCCAAATGGTTTTAATCTGCATGACACTTACAGATTAATAAAAATTAATATTTTAATTATTTACTATTCCCATTTAAAAGATTAACAAAAATCGTGAACTTGGACTAAAGCTACAGTGGAGGCAGAACTGACCTGCATCTGATTATTCTTTATTTTTCAGCACACAGTTTGATGATTAAATCCAGATAAAACTAAACTGAAATATGTTAAAAACATTTGCATGGTTTTGTGGCACAAATGGACGGTGAGTATTTTAAAAGCAGACAAAAAGCAAAAGCTTCATATTTTGAGTTTATCTATGAGTTTTTAATCATTTTGAACGTTTCTATACAAAGTAATTAATAAAAATGAATTGACGTGTCGACGGAGCACTGAGCTCTAATCACTGCATCTGTATTATATTAAATTATGACTTTTTCTGTTTATGTTGGTTTCCTTTAGTTTGATTCTCTTTGATTGTTTTTGTTACATTTACAGAAACCATTTAAATTAGCTGTCAGAAAATGCAACACATTTATTTATGTTTTACATCTTTATTCATTGTAACAAGAATAAAACTTACAACAAAAAGTGCAGTTGTTTACAAAATAAAAGGTTTCTGATTTTCTTATTATTTTCCGTCTTTTTTGTCTCTCCGTAGAATTAATTTATTTTCCAGAAATCATTTCTCTCCATACTAAAATTCACATCTAGTAATGTCATACAAAATATTGTTTTTTTATAAATATATAATTCCAAGTATATATGTTGTGTTAAAGTGTAAATTTTATTCATAACCTTGACTTTTGAACCGTAAGAACTGACAGGAACACAGGAGGAACCTCTGTGGTTCAGTAAGGTGTTCAGATGAATGACTTGATGGAATCAGGTTTTATTAAACCCTCTGCCTGGTCCCATCGCTCACAAAACTCACATTGGATCTCTGGGAATAAAGTTAATAAAAACATGAGTTATATTTCTGAGAAACAGTCCAACATTCAGCAACGACAGCCTGGAAGGAACCGGAACGTTTGACCCTTTCTGAAACCAGCTCCTTTGAGCTGAGRGGATATTTTGTTGGTTTAGGATCTTTTAGAACATCATTTACAGATTGATACTTTTATTTTACCAGTTTCTATAGAGATTGAGCTGTTTTAATAGGTTTTGCTGCTCACAAGGCTCAAAGTGTTACAGATAACTTATTATTCTGACCTCCGCACGCCAAGCGAGGTTTGTTTTTCAGTGATTTTTGGTCAACTGTAGCACAGAAACAGCTGCACCAATCAGCATGAAATTTGTCAGGAATGTAGTTGAGTCTGACCTACACTGAGCCAGACAACGGTTTTATGATAGACCCCATATTTGAGGAGGGGGATCCATCTGAAAAAGGGGTGTCTGGACATACAAAAATGCTTATAACTCAAGAACTTTTCAACACAGGAGCTTTAGATTTTTTAAATAGGTAATCAGTAATGTTTTGTACAAATTAGACAAATAGCTTTGCCTCTTGAGGATATCAGAAACTGAACCAGAACTGCCATTTAAGATTTTCTTTTCGTCTTGCTCCTCCACAGACTATGAACTAAAATAAGTCATGTATCAAAGTGTCGCAAATAAAAAAAAAGGTAAAGCAGAGCTGGAAGATCTTGTTCATTATTAACAGTTTCAGTTCTACAACCTCAGTGTTTCATTTCTGTGCATTRACACACCAGTCACTCAGTTATTAGCCTGACGTGTAATAAAACATCTGCTAATAAAACATCAGTTTTTATCGGGTCGGAGGAAAACTTTGTCTGTAAAAACTTTGAAGTAACAAACGGTTCTATTTATTTTTATTCCCTCAATTCAGACCTAATTATGCTGTCAGAGCAGCTTGAATGTGGTAATTAAATATTATTACAGTGAAGTGTTTTTGTCATATTTTCTGTATGTTTAACTGCCATATTTTTATAAAATACTTCAGCTGTGCAGCTTTAAAACAGACGATGAAGCTCAGCAAGCTGAAGGCAATCAGCTTAATGTGGCAGATTTTATTGAAAAGTAAAGATTTTGTTCTTGTTTTATTAGATTTAATTAACTCTCTTTCTGTCCTGAATGACAGTTTTTGTCTTTAAGACACAAAACTATTCTTGTAAAGTTTTATGTGAACAAAATGTGGCGTCCGAGCAGGAAAAGTTGATTAAAAACAAAGACATTTTTTTTAATTTAAGACTTAAGGTTCAGTTTATACAAGTCTTTTCCAACTAAATAAAAACAACATAAAGGTAATAAATCAAATGTTTTTACTCCTGCTGGTGTATTCTGTTCCCACTCAGTAGTCTCTGAAGGACATTTTGTCTGCTTTTATTCCCAATGCACCACTGGTTTTATCAGGACCGCTTGAAGTTTTACAGGATGTTTAAGCTTGTAGAGCTGCTCTTGAACATGTTCTGCTTCTTTACTGAGGCTTAAAACACACCTGAGTTAAATAAAACTGTCATGGGATAGAGTGGTTTGCAAAAATATTAATTTCTTTTGAATTAAATATGAAGGTAATAAAGTTATATGGGTGAAATACATGTTTCAAAAAACCAAAGCTTTAAATAAATGACTAATAATACGTTTACCTTTTTTTGATTTTCCATAAAGAACGAGGCCACAGTCCAACCTCCACAAACCTACATCTTTAGAGATTCTGCAGTCAACAGAAAGCTGCCCAGAGAGCAGGAACATKGTGGATAATCAAGACCGAGGTTGGCTTTACAGCTTTATTAGCACCTGTAATTAAAACACTTGGTTAAAGATGGATAGCACAGATCTGCCTTCCTCTATCACACTGCAAACCTCTGCAGAAAGGAACTCGCACTAAACGACAAGCTATTTCTGCAACCGCAATCAGAGAAATTAAGCCATTTCTTGTAGTTCTTAATAACAGAAAGCAGGAAAACATAATCATGTATGTCATTATTAATCACTGCCACCAACAAACTTCTCCAGCTCAGCTTATAATCTACTGCTGCTGGAAGAAAACCTTATTCTCAAACAATCAGGTTACGTAATTACACAACTACAATCTCAATGCGATCAACAATTCCTTGCTGTTTCTTACAAAAACGATTTTTATTAGTAAAAGCATTTATTAAGGAYAATGTCCCAACAAGCCAGCAAAACCAAGTACATATATACAACAAAAAGAACTCCCCAAGACTCTAAGCACAGAAAATTTTGGCAAATTGTTTGTCACTCCTGACTTAAAACCACAAATTTACAAGTGCGATCCTGGACAAGCCCCAAATTTACGCCACAACTCTGCTACGTTTGGTAACCACATAAAAGTAAAACTTTAAGATGAGTTGGTTTTTAGAACCATCTCTTAAAAGTCCTCAACAATCCAGCACAACCAAACCTTTGAGCAGCAGAAACAGTGAAGATCTGACTAAAGCCACACTGAACGTACAATCCCGGATGAGCCCCAAATTTATGGTAAAACCTGGCTACATTTGGCAGCAACTTAAAGGTAAAACTTTAAGATTAGTTGGTTTTTAGAACCATCTTTTGAAATCCCTCAACAATCCAGCACAACCAAACACAGCAATCAATGGTGATCTGATGAAACAATGGTGATCTGACTGAAACCACACCAATCGGTTCCAGACAAACCCAAAATTTACGCTACAACCCAGCCTGTTGGGCTGCAAAAAATTGGGGACCTCCTTGGTTTTGGAAGTGTTAAGGGCCAGGCTGTTGTGCCAGATGTTGGTAATACTGCATGTGTTACAGTTTGTTCATTAGGGGTGTGTCAATTGGCCGGTTTGTGAATTGAGAAAATACCTTGTTTAACTTTTGTCAGCACACATTTCACAAAAAAAAGCTAAGCAAACCAAACTGTGTGAGATAATCAGATTTACAAACAACGACTGGCCCAAAGTGATGTGTGCATCAATGCTGGGGGTTAATAAACTAATCGCAGCCACACAGCCGGCAGCTAAAACCAACTGCAGGAGATGGAGCGCTGATGTTAATAATGAATGGAGTCCACTGATGCAGGAAGTTCTTATCATGAGGATTATAAATAGCCAAAGCGGCAGCAGAGCCTCCGTAGTCTCACTCCCTTGGTAAATTGCACTTTTTTTCCACCACTAGAGCAACAGAGGCGAGGAAATAAGTGATTTCAACTCATCTACATCTATTATGGATAACTCTGGCAATGGTGAAGATTTATAAACCACATGCAGCTTTGGAAAAACAAGTCTTTCAGGAGGTGTGATGACTGCTTTAAAAATAAATCTGTGTTCAAAAAATGCTAAACATTTTCTGACTCTACTGATCTGCTTAAAGTCCCGGAAAGCAGTAAAGAGACAACATCTTGCGAGATGTATTGAGGATGACTCAGCTTCTACCACACCAAATTTGAGCTCAATATCTATAAAACTTGAGTTGTAGCTTGTTTTGTATTGGTTGATGTTGAGTAGCAGTTGTGGCCATCTTGAATAGGGTTGAGTCCAAAACTTAATGTGATTTGGTTTGATTATATAGCATCAAAAAAGGCTATAACTCAGTGAGTTTCATAGATTTTGAGCAAAAGTGACCTCTGGTGGTCYACGTGGGCCATAGGCTACTCGTGGTCGACTAAACGGCTGTCAAGACGATGTAGCCTACAGAAGACGTGTGTTTGACCACGTGTTGCCTTGTTATCATTGTGATAAGTTTTATATCACATCGCTTCAGTTGTTTTTTCAAGGTATTACTTCACAACATTCAGTTTTAATAGAAAAACATTACAAGGAAATAAATAAAAGCATTAACAATTTGGGTTTAGCTCCAGTATCAATACTTGTAACTGCATTTTATTTAACATCTCATTGCAACAAAACCTTCTTCAGCTAAGTTGCTTAACTTACATTCTTTGGTCCGGGATGAATTTCCAAACTCAATCATTAAAAAAAACAAAAACCTCCACCATCTTTGTTTTTCTGTTTAATTTGCTGATTGCACAGTGAATTCTGGGATATCGTTGTCTGTGGAGGATACTCCGATGCAGTCGACGTTTTCGGGTTTTTGTCGGCCGCATGAGTGGGCGCCTAAGAATTGGGACAACCTACGGGGCAGTGACGTAAACGGCCGACAAATGCACATGAATTAAAGTTGGGTTGTAAAAGATTATAAGAGGTCTGTCTGCTTGGAAGGAGAATCTAAAGGAATAACAGGTGATTTAAAACTTTTGCACAGTTTCGTTTGTGGAGGGTTTTTTTCCTGTCTTTTTGTCAGATTCGGCTCCACCTGCAGCGCCGTTTCTCCTGACAGAAAAACACTCTGACAAATACAAACAGGAACCAGCGGCAAGCGCAAACAAAAAGCCAAGTCGACAGAACCTTCAGTTTGTTGTTTCTGCAGCAGAGATGGATGCAGCAGCAGATCATCAGAACTGAAGGAGTGCAGTCGATGAAATGACAAGCCGGCTCCGCTGTGAGCCCCGGAGCTGCCACTTTAAACATTAATGGTTTGAATTTGAACCAAAGCCTTCAGCTCTGGCTGCGGAGCGTAAACACCTAACTGTAAACAGCCGGAGAGACGAAACCCTCCGGAGAGCTCCGGCTGCACAGATTTAAGGTTTTAACAAACAAAACCTAAAAACGCTGCTGACCTCGGTCAAATTCTGGCAGACCTGCAGGTTTCAGGAGCAGGATCACCTCATGGCGTCAGCACCAATAATCCTTTCTTATTCCAAGAAACCAAGTCTCAAATCTACTGTTCAAAGAAAAAATGTCTAAAACCAGAATTCAGTCRAGTCTCTGCTGGTCGAACAGTTAATCTGAAGATAAACCAGGTTTTATTACAGACCAGGTCCACCCAGGTCTTACTATAGACCAGGTCTGTTTGAGTCTTTGCTTCGTTCAGCTTTACTTACTGTTGAAATCAAATTGGATTATGACTCCATTTATATATTAGCTTTAGCTTTTAGTCATCTTTTTTCTTCCAATTTAGCATTTATCTAGCCTTTGGCTTCATTTAGCTAATGTTCCGGTTTATTTTAGCTGTAAGAACTGTTTCAGCTTCAATCCATTTTAGCGTTTGTTGCATTTTCACAGAAAACCCGTATTTCTCGTTATTTTTATTTTTGTTTTCAAGCAGCTGTAAAGCTTTGATCTGACTTTTATTCTCAGTGAAATTAATTTTTATTTTTAGAAGAAAGTTTGGCTTTTTAATCATTTAGTTTCTGACCCAGAATTTTGTTTTTCACTCAAAAAATAAAATTGTTCTTTCAGACACAAGATGCTGAATCTATTTAGGACCTGATTTAAGAAGCAGAATGAATGAATGAATGTATTTATATATATTTTTAAAAACATCCTGGGGTGAAGCAGGGCTGAAATTTTAGAATTTAAATGATTTTCATACCTGAGCCAAGGTCTGTGACAGCAGCTCTCCTCCTCCTCTGCAGGATTTCTGTTTTTATTTTTCCAGACCCAAACGGTCTGGAAGCAGCAGGTTTTCTGCGTCGGTGGGCTCAGGGGAGTCTGCTGACAGAAAAACCTTCCATTTCACTTTCTGAAAACTTCTCTGCTGCAGCTTTTGTCTCGTCCTGAATAATTTAAGAAGTTCATACATCTTGACGTCCGTCTGTCTGACCCTGTGACTCAGGAAAGGTTCGGCCTTCAGGCGGCAGAAGAACTGATGAGTTCTTTGAGTTGAGGCACTGAAACTCCACATCTAGTGTTTTGCTACATTTATCTTGTAGCTAGTCTTTTGCTTTTATTTTGATGGTTTCTATCAGTGATTCCAAACCAGGGATATCTGTACCCCTTGGGGTATACGAGCATATTACAGGGGTTATGTGGAAAAATATCCCAGGTGTGTAAAAAACTAAATAAAAATAGGACTGAGATATGTAGGGTTCTGTTATTTCTGCAATGTGGAAATTGCAGATGGAATTGTGGAATTAACACAAAATGGAATCCAGTATAAAACGAGGAATCTCATGGAACTTGCTCATTTGGGTTCCTGGTGTATTTTGGACYCTGCTGCTTCTTTCACCTGCCGTTACCTGGTTATTTTTTTAATTACTTATTCACTTTCAAAGTCCTGAAATATTACAGTACTTTCAGGACCTTGGACAGCTCCTTCAGCGCTACACGACATTGAATGGCTAGAAACGTTTTTCTGTACTTTAAGCACCCCGGACAACTCCGTCGGCCCCACCTGCCGTCCAGTGGCCAGACGCGGCTCTTCTGCACCTTCAGCACCCCGGACAGCTCCGTCGGCCCCACCAGCCGTCCAGCTGCCAGAAGCGGCTCTTCTGCACCTTCAGCACCCCGGACAGCTCCGTCGGCCCCTCGCGCTGTCGAGCGCAGCTCCGTCCGCCCCTCGCGCCAACGAGCTGCCTGAAGCGGCTCTTAAGCACGTTCAGGACCCCAGACAGCTCCATAGGGCTGTCGAGCGGCGTGAAGCTCCTCTTCAGCACGTTCAATCCCTGGACAGCTCCATCGGCCCCTCGCGCCGTCCAGCGGCCAGACGCAGCACTTCTGCATCTTCAGCACCCCCGACAGCTCCGTCGTCCCCTCGCGCCATTGAGCGGCCTGAAGCACCTCTTCAGCATGTTCAGCACCCGGGACAGCTCCGTCGGCCCCACCCGCCGTCCAGCAGCCAGACGCGGCTCTTCTGCACGTTCAGCACCCCGGACAGCTCATTCGGCCCCTTGCGCCATCGAGCGGCCTGAAGTGGTTCTTCAGCACGTTCAGCACCCCGGACAGCTCCGTCGGCCCCTCGCGCCGTCCAGCGGCCAGATGCGGTTCTTCAGCACCTTCAGCACCCCTGACAGCTCCGTCGGCCCCTCGCGCCGTCGGTTGGTCTGAAGCGGCTCTTCAGCACATTCAGCACCACGGACAGCTCCGTTCGGCCTCTAGCGCCATCGAGCAGCCTGAAGCGGCCCTTCTGTATGTTCAGCACCCCGGGCAGCTCCGTCTGCCCCTCGAGCCGTCCAACAGCCAGATGTGGCTCTTCAYCACCCCGGACAGCTCTGTCGGCCCCTCACGCCGTCCAGCGGCCAGATGCGGCTCTTCAGCACCTTCAGCACCCCAGACAGCTCCTTCGGCCCCTCGCGCCGTAGAGGCTCTTCAGCACGTTCAGCACCCCGGACAGCTCCGTCGGCCCCTCGCGCCATCCAGCGGCCAGATGCTGTTCTTCAACACCTTCAGCACCCCAGACAGCTCCGTCGACACCTCCTGCCGTCCAGAGGCCAGACGCGGCTCTTCTGCATCTTCAGCACCCCGGACGGCTCCGTCAGCCCCTCGCGGCGTGTAGCGGCCTGAAGTGGCTCTTCATCACCTTCAGCACCCCGGACAGCTCCGTCAGCCCCACCTGCCGTCCAGCGGCCAGAAGCGGCTCTTCTGCACCTTCAGCACCCCCGACAGCTCCGTCGTCCCCTTGCGCCGTCCAGCGGCCAGACGCAGCTCTTCTGCATCTTCAGCACCCCGGACAGCTCCATCATCCACTCYCGCCATCGAGCAGCCTGAAGCGCCTCTTCAGCACGTTCAGCACCCCGGACAGTTCTATCGGCCCTTTGCGTCGTCGCGCGGCCTGAATAGGCTCTTCAGCACATTCAGCACCCCGGAAAGCTCTGGCGG